TTACGCTTCTTTGGTCTCGTCAGTTCTGATTTGTCCCAGCTGTGTTTTCCTCCTGTTACTCATTCCCTGATTGCTCCTTCTGTGTATTTAAGCCCTGTGTTTCTCTGTGTCCGTGTTGCGATCTACCGTTTACCTTGCTGTGTGTTCTGTCATTCCTCCAGTTTAAGTTTAATTTGAGTTTTTCCAGTTATGTTATATTTTGAGTATCACATTAAAGCCATTTAGGGTTCACGACTGTCTCCGGAGTCTGCACCTTGGGTCCTATTCCTGTCTGCACACAGCCACACCCATCAAAACTCCTACTAAAGGGGAGGTTGGAGGAATTCCATTCAACCTGGCAACCTTTTATAAATTTCTTCAGTACTGTACAGATATAAATGGTCACTGAGCCTCATTGTTAGTTCGATAAATAGCATCCTCTGTCCAACGTTGTTTGTTGTTGCCTTTTTTTTCTTTTTTTTTTCTTTTTACTTTGTTTAATTTCTGTTGTATATATGTAATCATTTATATTTGAATCTTAGTTGCCTTTATGATAAAGAACACTGGAAATCCAAATAAAGAGATTTGAGAAAAAAAAATTCTCAACAACAAAAACAATTGGTAAGAATATAATTAATGTGTAAACAACTTAATAACCCCAAAAGTGTCTAAGTCACGTGATGTGTCAGCGCAACACCGAAACATAAGAGAGAGGGGGGGGAGCAAAGTGTGCCTGCTCTCCGCTGACAAAGGAGCAGCGAGTCCAGCGACCTGGCTGTTTCGTTTTTGCCGAAAGCACAGCATAGCAAACAAGCAGAACTCAAAGTAAAGAATCGATCTAGCCAGGCTAGTATCAATCCGATATCGATTCCGACTTGGGATCGATACTATCGATATTTGGATCGATCCGCCCACCACTAGTACGAGTTTTTGTAACTGACTGTAAAAAGTCAGCACAACGAGCAAATGCCCGGTATGCCCGATGGCCAGTCCAGCTATGGCCGTGGCATCAGTTAACCCTTTGCATGCCAACTGTGACACGCGTGCCTAGGGTTGCCAACCCCTGGGATACGCCCTCCCTGCCCAGTGCACGCTCCCGACGCAGGGGGAACAATTCTGTTGGGGATACCTATCTTGGCACAGCACCAGTAACGAGGGAGAAGGAAACTGGTGGGAGCACAGCTGACACTAATCACAGGAAGGAGACAAGGAACATGCACAGGAAAAGGGACTGTCAAAATGACACAGGAAACTAACACTGAGACAAGCAAGAACAGAAACATAAACAAGCACAGAGATAAGACTGAAAGGGGAACAAAACATCGGGAAGAGACGTGATGTAGTTTCCAGCCAAAGAAAACTTCAGCCTGAACCAGGCACATGCAGAGGATGGCAGGGGGCAGAAGGGGCTTGGGCACCTTCCCCTTTCCTGATGGGCGCTCCAAGTGCCCTTTTCTTGAGCCTTTTTTTTTTATTCTATTAAAATGTTTTTCGTGTGTGTGT